CAACACACCAAAGAGTTTATTAATTTTTACTCCAATGTTTCTAGTTGCTTAGTAACTGGGAGTTAGGCATGAAACCCATATCAATTTTCACGGCGACTTGAAATATGAGTATGCAAAGCACTTTGAGTTTATGACTTGTTGAATAATCGGGTGCTTTCATCACAAATGTTAGTATTCGTGTCAAAAGACAAGTGATGGCTTAGGAAAGAATGTGTTGTATGGTTGGAAAAAAAAAAAAAAAAGAGAAGTCGAATGTTTCGTGGCCTTTCTTACTTGAGTAAGTATGTTCTTAGGAGTGTCTCTTCACCTAATGCCCTAAAGCCAACTGGTTTAGGAGTCATTGACAAAAAGCTCGTTACATGAGTAACTTAGAAAGCCTAAGGAAACTCAACCTATGAAAAAAAAAATTTTTTTGAGGGGAGAAAAAAAAAAAGATAGTAATAAGTGCTAAGGTGTGAAGGTCTAAACTTGAGACTTCTTACTATGAATTTCCACACACACACACACACACTAAGTGCTCATGGCTAAATCTTTTAACAAGTGGTGTGAAGAATATGATGAGTATCTAACTTTAAGTGAGTATATGAAAACTCTTGAATATTTGAGACTTTATATCTGATTAAACTTTAATTCCTAAATTTTCTTTGCATGCATATTATGTGGTTACATTCTTGCATTAGGATTTTGTGGGTAGATCCACTGCAAACCTTCACGAGACACAACTCGTCCACTAGGGTGACCTAGGGGTTTAAAGGCTTGTTGCACATGCTAAGTGCAATCGTGATTCCTACGAAGGTTAGATTTTATTTTTGTTCTTTTTTTATTTTTTTATTTATTTTACTTGAGGACAAGTAAAACTTAAGTTTGAGGGAATTTGATGAGCTAAATTTATATACACATTAATAGGGAATTTTTACTTTGATATTATTGATATTTGGATGAGTTTTATGAGATTTTGTTTGATTTCACATGATTTTCATTTTTTGTGTAGAAAAGAATTTAATTGGAAGAAATCTTACTTTTTAAAAGTAACTTGAAGAGATCAGAGACTTGAGGATCAACTTGTGCAGAATCCGAAAGTCAGGAACCAAATCTGCTATTTTACCATTGAAGAAATTGCAAAAGGAGACCAGAAACCTGACACGGGTGTAGTGTCGACACATGATCGGGGTTTGACACCATGCGTTAAACGTCCAGAATCAAATTCTGTTTCCTATGTTGTGTCAACACGTAATCCGAAGTGTCAGCACCACGTGATCAACATCCAAAATTCAGTTTCTTATTTCTGTTCCAAGTCCTACTTCTATTTCAATTAGGGTTTCTAAAATCCTATAAATACTCATCCAAATTCAGAATTAAGGGAGCTTTGGGGGAGGCTAGTGGCAGCCCTCTTTTGGGCATTATTGGAGGTTAAGATTGAGGTTCCATCAACAATAGAAGATCAAGGAGTTCGATTTCCTCAAATTGGGTTTTGTTTTTCCTTGAATTTTTATCTATTATTTGATATTTGAATGTTCATAACTTTGATTTCATATTTTATTATTTTTATTATGAACTGATTTATTCTACTAGGGTTACGATGTAGCCTAATCAATTCAATATGGATTTAGTGATTTTATGCTTTCAATTAAAATTATTTGCATAAGAAGTTTATATTATTGAACTTAATGCATTGGAAGTCTGATCACCTTTCAATTGATTTAATGATTTATGCATGAACTTGAAAAAGAATTGCATAGATTAAACCAATAATAATATAAACCGTGTGCTAGACTATGAGACCGATAGGTAATTAACTCACATGTGATAGTGGAGGAAGAGAAGAGAGTTAGGAACTCCCCCTTCTTAAGCTAGATGTTTCCATAGAATTTAATGCTCATAAGTTTGTTTAAAATTATATAGAAATGTGATTAATTTAACAAACAAGTGAAGGATTAACTTAACTTGAGAAAGTTAGTTAATTAATTTAGAAAAATCCGCCATCACATGCAATAACATTCAACAATTTGGTAATCCAGAATTTATATTAATTGATTATGGTAAATTCAATGCCTTAGTACCTCATATCTTGGTTAGGTTTAATTTAATTGTTATTTTCCTTTTATTATTTTTTTAGTTAAACTTTCTTCCCATTTGGTTGTTCAAATAAATTTGGATTAATTATTTTGGTACTTAGTTAGACACAATCCTCATGGATTCGACACTCTTCTCATCATTATATTACTTAGAGCAACTAGTACACTTGTTAGGGTAATTTTAGTGCATCAGGGAACATGTATATAGCACTTATACTTCAAAATACAAATATAGGTACTTTTCACATGGTTACAACTTGCACAAACTCAAAGACAATTCAATTAATTCATTTATTCATATCTCATTTCATACATTAAATTCAAATTCTAACAGCATTCCTATGCAAAACTGTCCTTGCTCAATACAATATACGAAGCAACAAGTGGGCATAAAGTCACAAATTTCTTAACAAAACATTCACATATTATTGTCAATCATTTAGTATGGTTGTAATTTTAAGTTTTTTATTTTGGTACTTAAAAATTTAGAAACCCTAAAATATAATTAAGTAGTTCAATAAATTAATTAAGTTTGGAGTTTCAAGTATTTGTTTTAAAATTTTATACCCAATAAGTTGGTAATTTTAATTTTTAATTTTAGTTTTAATTGTTAATTTTGATGGTTTGAATATATCAAAACTAGAAACTCAAAATCACAACCATAT